AATTCCGGCGTGAAGACACTCTCTTGATATTAACCATTCCGCACGGTCGTTCAAGCCTCTAGTTGGAGTCACTGGAACTTCCCGACAGAGGTGGCGTCGACACTAAACGCTGCCTTTCTCGGGACGACCAGATGGTCTGACTGTTTATTCTAGTGCATCAAGTGATGGATGGCGTCTACCACGAATCTTCCCGATACTCTCGCGCACAATTCCCAAGCGGACTATTCATCAGAACGATCAAATCTGCCCCCGAATTTTGAAGAGCATTTTTATCTAAGTGTCTAACGAAGCTGGAAGACTCAGCCGTGCTGAATTACTCAATGAGACTGAGCACAACTCTCTAATCCTACAGAAACTTCCCGTCGGTAAGCAACAGTGCAGTGGAACTAAGTTCTAGGGTGAAGAGTTGCGTTTGGAACGAAGATTGGGGGTACGCCAGTTTCATCACCAGGTGCGATCTAAGAGAATTCGTACGAGAGTAAAATAGCAAGCGACTGCTCAATGTTCCGGTTCCACAGGTCTTGACCCCGCGGTCAAGATTCTTGACCGCGGGGAAATTTCAAGACGTGCAAGACACGCAAGATCTCTTATAGATCATATCGTGATCTTTACTCTCGCGCGGTAATGGCTGTTCGTGGCACATCCTTGCTGCGCCAGTCCAGGTTTCTGCTGGAACAGGTGGGGTTAAATGGACGATGTCGGCTTGGGATGGTATCGCTGACTAGGGTGGTCCGTCAGGTTCCCGATGTCTTCGCGACATTTGGTTGGGAAAGGCGTCTGACTGTTATCCATCATCCCGGGGTGATGGCAATTTCCAAACTCTTGGACCAGAGGACCGTGGTCAGACCTAGAGCCACCTTCAATCAAGTACTCTGCATCTAGTTTACACGTGTTCAGTTTTCCCTTTTATCAGGAGCTCGTGGAGGAAATAGGCGATTATGACGAGGACTTGCAAAGGAAGGCGCAGGTAAGGTTGAATTCCTGGTATAAAATAAGCTCTATGGTTGATTTCGGCCGTTCTGCTTTGTAGGTAGCCCTGGACAACGGCTTGGCTATCGAGTGGCGTGTGCTCGACTTCATTGACGATGAGCTTCCTCGCCTCCTCGCTGAGAAACGCGAGATAGAGAAAGCAAGAGAGCAGGTGAGATGATTTTATACGTCACCTGTATTCCCGATAGTGCGGGAATGAGGAACAAGACTGAGCAGGTAATGAGCAAAGCTCCTGGAGACTACACTCAACCTGTGTTCGACTCCTCTGTGGTTGTGCCGACTCCTGCTAACCTCGGCCGTAACTACCCTACATTGAATGTCCCTGATGGAGATCCAACTGAGAGTGCTCCTCTGAATGTCGGAGAGGAGCGAAAGCCAGAAGTGAGCTGCACGACTGATGTTGTGTGTCGACATAAGCGCGGGTCAATCTCAGGTTGCCGCATAGAGGAGGGTGCGCTTTTTAACATTAGACATCCTATTCGCACAGGCCGTGCCTATAAAGCGCGGCCATTACATGATGGAGTACTCGTTGAGTGTCGAAATATGGTGAAGGCTGATCTCCATAATTTTTCGTAGAATTGTTTTCGCTGGCGTCGCGTTAGGGGGAAGTTCCGGACCGCAGACGAAGATATGAGTGCTTCGATATATGTGTGGTTGTTGGCGTATTAGTGGCATTCTGATTGAACGTGATAGAGATGCGATCAAAGTTCTCGTAGTCGTTATCTTTATTTTTCTGCAGTTTGCATTCTAAATGAGTTTGGGTTTTCAACGGAGTAAGCGTCAGTCCAGCGCTTCCTCCAGTTCACAGTCACCGACCCCTGGCTCGGCTCAACGTCGTGGTGGGAGTTCGGGAGGCCTGCTCAGTAGGCTCGGGTATTACCTCACTGGTGGGGCCAACAGCCACCACCTAGCGGCAGAAGCAACCGCGAGTCGGCCCGCGAAGATGCTAACTCGATCGGGAGCGGGCTCATTGGTAATAGATAAATCAGCTTATTCCGGAGAGAATAAGGAGCTTATTCACGTTTAGGGTTTCCCATCGGACTCCGAAGTGAGTGGGAAATTGCCGTCCAGTGGCAGCAATCCAGCGAGAGTAGGAGCTAGACCAATTGGGATTTCCGGTACTGGCTGGCTGGGTTCAGATATCCAAGCTGCGCCACGCTACCATGAGGGACCAGGTGGACTTGGATGAGCTCAATAGGTTACTCTGGTCCGGCTGCCCGTTTGATTCTGATTTTGATGTAATGGCTTCGGGAGAAGGGTGGGGTAGTGTTGCTGGGCATTCCTCTCTTCAGCATCGTTACGAGGAATTTGAGAGAACATTTTCCTTCACTAAGGTACGCGTGAGAGCATGGGAGCTGGCACTGGGCTACGTACCGCCTAGGAAGGAACGGCAGAATAGCGCAGTGGAACGGAAGAGACGGGAATATCGGGTAATCTGAGGGCCCCTCTGACTGGATGCCGTATGGGTGGCGTTGTTCATATGTTTTCAATCATTTCAGGTCTTAACGCGAGAGTTTGCTGATGTCTTCGCGTTGTCAACGGATGATTTGCAGCCGGTTTCGGCCACCGCAGCACAGCAACAACAATACGCCTCGCTCCGGCAAATACGGGTAGTGGGGTAGGCGGAACTTGGATTTACGCGCCGGGTTTTGACTGGCTCGGAGTGAATACCCACCGCTGTGGAGTATGGTATCGAGATGATCGGGTTCCCACTCACCCTAGATGGTCCCGTCAACATATTTTCCAGGTCGACATACCTCGAACGTTTTCCGAGCTTAACATCTTCGCATCGGAGAGGATCCAGAGAATGATGGAGCGAATATTGTATATCTGGGCTGTCCGTAACCCTGCCTCTGGCTATGTTCAAGTACTACGGGGGGCGTTCTGTGCTCCTGTTTGAACCCCTGGGGCTGGGGTCTAGTTAGTATAGTCTGGCGAGTTTCGCGCGACTCTGTTGAAGTCCAGGCTGGCTCGAGTATTTGATCTGTCGGTGTCTTTAGGGAATCAACGACCTTCTCACGCCGTTCATCGTGATTCTCCTCCAAGCGAAGTTGGACCTGCCGATAAAGGATATCGATGTTGATGACGAGAACAGGCTTGACGATGTACAGCTCATGGAAGTGGAAGCTGATGCATATTGGATGCTCTCACGAGTGAGTGTTTGTCACGGAGATTCTCGTTCGGACGTGAGTGGGCATGTCATTGTGGAGCACCTCAGGTTCTGTCGGACATACAGGATCATTACACATTCGGCCAGCCTGGTATACAGCGTCTCATCCTAATGTTGAAGGACATTGTGAAGCGTGTAGATGACAAGTTGGCCGACCATCTGGAGGATGAGATGGTAGTAGTAGTGGCTATCAGCTAACGATTACTTGGAGGATTTACGTAATTTTTCTCTTAGATCGATTATCTCCAGATAGCATTTCGTTGGTTCAACTGCCTCATGCTGCGGGAGCTGCCTCTGCAATGTAGGGCACTTTTACCCCAGGATTCATAACTGCTTCCGTGGAGGCTATTTCTCATTGCTCGTAGGTACATTGAGACTATGGGACACATGTATAGCTGAGAGCGATGGCTTCTCGACTTACATGGTCTACATTTGCGCAGCATTCCTGGTTCATTGGGGTCCTCAACTAGAGGGAATGGACTTCTCTGGAATCATGCTCTTCGTGAGGCGTCAGTTCGGGTAGCCGTTTGGTATTCGTGCATATTCAGTTCCAAAAAGCGCCTACTTCACAGTGGACGGAAGCAGATATCGAGACGCTCTTGGCCGAGGCATTCGTCCTCAAGTCGCTTTTCGATAATGCCCCGAGTCATTTGCGGAATCAGGACTTCGTGGGGAATGGCACATGAGAGCATCGGCGCTTTGCTCAACGAGCTGCTGAGATCGTGTCTACTCTAGGAGTTTCTTAACGCTAGACTATTCCATTGTTGATATACACTTTGAACATTCATACCCGAGTAGCCTTGCGTGGTTAATCAGCTTATATCCAGAATGACGGGCTCTTCCCCATCATTTCTCCGTACCCCGAGTCGGCTTGAAATCCTCGAGTTCGTTTCCAGTCTTGATCTCCGTGATTTTGATGGATATTTGATTGCCTTTCACCGTCTCGATGAGTCTGTCCCATCCTGGAATACACTCCCTCGAAAATGAGCAAGCCGGAGCCACTCTATAGTGTTAACAGTAGACCACGGTCGAGCACTGTCACTGGTCTCTGAAGAGACCTCACGAACGGCT